TACACCGCAGCCTCTACACCACGTCCCTTACACCGCGTCCCTTACACCGCAGCCCCCTACACCACGTCCTACACCGCTACCCTTACACCACGTCCCTTACACCGCGTCCCCATACACCGCGTCCCCTTAACCGCGTCCCATACACCGCAGCCCCTGCCCACGTCCTTACACCGCGTCCTTACACCGCAGCCTCACACCACGTCCCTTACACCGCGTCCCTTACACCGCAGCCCTTACACCGCGTCCCTTACACCCGCGTTCCCATACACCGCAGACCCTTACACCGCGTCCCATACACCGCGTCCCTTCACCGCGTCCCATACACCGCGTCCCTTACACCGCGACCCTTACACCGCTACCCTTACTCCGCGACCCTTATCACCGCAGCCCTTACACCACGTCCCTAACACCGCGACCTTACACCGCTACCCTTACTCCACGACCCATAACCACGTCCCCACCGCGACCCTTATACCGCGACCTTACACCGCAGCCCGTACACCACGTCCCTTAACCGCGTCCCATACACCGCGACCTCATAATCCACGACCACCGCAGCCCTTACACCACGCCTTAACCGCGACCTTACACCGCTACCCTTACCCACGACCCTTACACCAAGTCCCTTAACCGCGACCTCTACACCGCGACCCTTACACCGCAGCCTTACACCACGTCCCACCACGTCCCATACACCGCTACCCTTACTCCGCGACCCTTACACCGCGTCAGGATATTTAATGCAGTGGGATAAATATTTGACGCATATATCCTTTTACTCTCATGCGTTAACACACCTTTTCCCTCACCTGTATTAACGCACATTTATCCCTCTACCTCTTTCTCCCTCCACTATTCCCCCTCTCTCTCCCCTCCCTCTCTCCCTCTCTTCCTCTCTTTCTCTCTCTCCTTTCCTCCACCATACAACTTCAATCCCTCCATCAAACCTCTTTCTCCTCCACCAGAGATCCTTCTTTCCTCCAACACACAACCCTCCCTCCAACACCCTCCAACACACCCTCCTCCTCCCTCCACCACATAACACCTCCTCTCCCTCTAACATACACCTCCCTCCTTTCTCCTCTCCTCCTCCCTCCACCACTCACTTCCTCTCCCTCCTCATCACTACTCACCTCTATCCTCCCTTCTCCTCCCTCCTCCTTCTCCTCCCTCCTCTCCCTTCCCTCCGCCATAGACCATATACCAAACTCAACTAAAATTGTCAAAATGGAAGCTTCCATGCGTGTCAGCATTAATGCGTTAGGTGTAGCGACGCATTATTCTCCTGTCTGAATTAAAGGCGTACTGTCCGCTGTGTAATGAGTACAGTGGTGATGCGTCAGATTTTAATGCGTCTACTGGTGATGCGTCATGTTATGCGTCAAATTAGAGTGAAACATGAATTACACGTGGTCAGGTAATAATGCGTCATAAATAATACGTCAAAAATGATGCGTCGGGGTTCATACGTGAGTTATAATGCTCCGCTCTAATGCGTCGTAGATCATGAGTCGGGTGTAATATATCATGATTGATACGTCATTTCATGCGTCAGCTAAAATGCGTCGTAGTTCTAATGCGTCATCTATAAAGCGTCATAGTTAATGCAACAGTCTTAGTGCGTTAAAAGTTATACGTCATCCAAACTGCCCTAAAAGATACACAGCGTTGGGCCTAATGCGTCACAGCTCGTGCGTCATTACTCATGCGTCAAATTCGAAGCGTCACCATAACGGCAATAATAACATCCTCTCTCTCTCTCTCTCCTGTCACAAACACATGAGAGAGAGACGGAGAAGGTTTCAAAATGGCGTCTAGATTGTACAGAGACTCGACCGTAGTGACTGTAGACGTATTATTTTTCCTCTAGGTTGGGGAGGAGGGGAAGAAGAGGGTTTGGGAGGTGGGGGAGGGTGGAGGTCGTTGGAGGTGGTAGGGGTCATAGGGAGGTTTTGGAGGTAGTAGGAATGTGCTGGTGACCGTAGGGAGGTCGTTGTAGGTCGTGGAGGCACAAGGAGTCGTAGGGAGGTGTTGAAGTCGTAATGAGGTCGAAAAATGTGAAGGTACAGGGGTCAGGGAGGTCGGAGGCACAGGGGTAGGGAGGCGTGGAGGCACAGGGGTCGTAGGGAGGTCGTGGAGGCACAGGGGGGTCAGGAGGCTGTGGAGACAGGGGTCGGAAGTCATGTAGGTACAGGAGGTCAGGAGGTCGTGACAGGGGGCATGTGGAGGTCGTCGGGAGATCGTGGAGGCACAAGGGGGTCGTAGAGGAGGTCGTTGTCGAAAAAAAAATGTCCAGCGAAAGATGGAGAGAATAACATTGATTGTCACTACCATAACACTAGACTGTATTGTGGCTGCCCATAGTGTCAACACCCTCTGTTTCCCTCCCTGCACCTTCACCCCCACCCTCTGTGTCTCTCTCTGTGTCCTTATGTCTATATCAACACACTCTCCTCTCTCTCTCCACCCAATACTCCCCACGTCTGTGTCTGTTTGGTGTGTATGTCTGTCTATGTCCACCATTACCCTGTGTGTATGTTTGTGTGTGTGTGATTGTCTGTGTGAACGTGTGTTTATGTATCAACTCCACATGGGGTGATGTAGAGGGGAGAATGGGAGGGGTGAGGGGGAGTGATGGGAGGGGGAATGGGGGGGGTGAGGGGGAGTAGAGGGAGGTAGATGGACAGGGTCATCACTCTGTCAAACAAACAAACAAAAACAAACAAATAAACAAACAAACACAAACAAACATACAGCTCTTGATCTCAAAAGAGGGAGCGGGCGATGCGAGGGGTCATCACGGTATACTGCAGACAGACAGACACTGATATATTTATATGTATGTACCCTCCTTTACACTGGGGGGGATAATTAGATAAATAGAGGGAAGGAGGAGAAGGAGGGAGAAAGAGAGAGAGGGAGAGAAAGAGAGACAGAAAAAGAGACAGAGAGAAAGACAGACAGGCAGGGAAAGAGAGGCAGGTAAAGAAAGATGGCGACAGATAGAAACAGAAGGACACAGACAGACATTGTGATGGAAAAGAGAGTGAGTAAATGAGGGAGATAGGGAGAAATAAGGGGCGGGAAGGGAGGGAAGGGAGGGAAGGCTTGAACGAGGGAGGCTGGCCAGATAAGGAAGAAGGGAGGAAGAGGAAGGTAGGAATTTGACTGTAAAATAAAGGGTGAAAATAAGGAGACGTAGAGGACGAGAGAGAGAGAGAGAGAGAGAAGAGAGAGAGAGAGAGAGAGAGAGAGAGGGGGGAGGAAAGGGGAGACAGGGAGATAAAGAAGGAAAGGAGGGGAAGGAGGAGGACAACTGACCAGTCCTCTCAGACTGCCAGATGCGACCTTACTAACCTTGTTATGTTAACCTAATTAGTTCTAAATGGCCCCTCACTACCCCCTGCCCTCGGCAGCACTTCGCAGCACTATTTGTTTGTCTATGGTTATGGATAGTTGTTGAGTAGGTCCTGATGGTGGTAGTGCTGGTAGTTGTGGTTATGGGATTGTCGTCTTAGTGTGTCTTGGTGATAATTGGTGACGGCAGTGTTGGTGGCTGGTCATAGTGGTGCAGGTTATGGTGACAGTGGTGTAGGTGATGGTGACAGTGGTGGAGGTTATGGTGATAGTGGTGGATGTTATGGTGATAGGTGGAGGTTATGGTGATAGTGGTGGAGGTTATGGTGATAGTGGTGGATGTTATGGTGATAGTGGTGGTGATGGTGATATTGGTGGAGGTTATGGTGATAGTGGTAGGTGATGGTGATAGTGGTGTAGGTGATGGTGATAGTGGTGGGGTTATGGTGATAGTGGTAGGTGATAGGGTGGAGTTATGGTGATAGTGGTGGAGGTTATGGTGATAGTGGTGTAGGTGATGGTGATAGTGGTGGAGGTTATGGGGTGTAGGTGAGGTGAGGTGCAGGTTTGATTCTTAAGCCATCCCGACCTTGTAATAGACGATACACCGAGGCTACTTCACCATCATTCCAGGAGTACACCAAGGTTGAATTCTGTCTCCAAGTCTCTTCTTTACACTGTGACGACGACCTCCTCTCCATTCCCTCCAGCAGAACACAAGTTTACACTGATGCCACCAGGAGAAAAACTGATCCTACCCACGTTGTTAAAGTCTCTTAAACACTATACACAGCTGCAGAACACAGGTTTGGAATCCATGACCAACAGCGGGGTACTGATAACCTTGTTACATTCAGCGCCGCCGTGACACTAACCTTCGTTGTCCCTCTCTCAAAGTAGATCATAGTCAGCCCACACACCTACAGCCAACACTATTCTCGGTTTTGTTGTGACTTTATAAACTCTACTGGAATGACTATACATTTCTGGCATATCCTCTCTTTCTTTTTTTTTCGCTTTTCCACGCCCTCTACTGCCCTCTCCTCTCTTCACTATTCTCCCCACCTGTCGTTCTCTCTCTCTCTCTCTCATCTCTCTCTCCCTCTATCCCTCACTCTTCCTTCTTTCTCGTCACCTTCCCTCTTTCCTTTTCATCCTCCCCACTTCCCTATCTACTCCCTCCCTCCTCCCTCCCTCCCTCCCTCCCTCCCCCTCCCTCCTCCTCTCTTCCTCCCTTCCCTCCTCTCCCACTCCCCGCCTGCCCATATCACCACACACCCCAACAAGTGATAGCGACACTGGATGCTGGGAGCCTGTTATCATCGTGATCGGCTTACGGTACACACGAACAAAAGAACATCACCCTGCGCATATGGACGACCTGTTCTCTCTAAATGGGTCCCGGATACCAAGCTTTAGTACACAGTATAGGTGGATGGGGTAGTAGGTGGATGGGGCAGTATAGGTGGATGGGGCAGTAGGTGGATAGGACAGTAGGTGGTTGGGGCACTAGATGGTTGGGGCACTAGGTGACGGGGCATTAGGTGGACGGGGCATTGGCTGCACGGGGCACTATATAAACTGGATACTAGATGCACGGGGCACTAGCTGCATGGACAGACGGGGCACTAACAGCAACTTACCTGCTAGCTGGACGGGGCAGCCGGGGTCTGTGTTGTGGTTGTCGTCAGTCATCTCGTCGTCTCTGGCTTCCTCCTTGATGGCATCATAGTCGTGGCGGCAGAACAACACGTCGTCTCTTAGCGCGAACTCGTCCCCCGGCAGGAGCTGTTTCCCGCACGACCGACATCTGTGGGGGAAGAACCAAGAGGGAGGGATGTTAGGTCAATCAGGTAAACTACAGGTAGATACAATTTAACACAGTAAGATTATAGTTCATACAAGTGTTAATTAAAAAGACGATAATTCTTCAAGATTATATATGAGAATAAACCCTTACGTATATATAACGGACTTCTCGATATAACGGATTTTCCTCTCCATAAAGTACGTTAAATAGAAGTTTCACTGTACAAACATTTTAGATATAACTTAAAATCACCAGGTAACTTAATCACTTACGTTCACCAGGTAAATAATTTCCACCAATTCTTAATCCAAAAAAAACACACCACCAAAATGCCTTACGACTATTGAGAAAGTGAGACAGTAAAATAATAAAGTTAAAATTATTTGTTGACACAGAGACACTCCTCAGCCATCTCGCCAAGTCTCGTGTATCAAGAGAAGGCAGAAGAACTTGTTTTGGGGAAATATGTTTGTGAGTTTGAGAATATAGATGTATATAATACCTGTAGTTGTATAAAATGGCAGGAGGGGAGGTGAGGCAAAGGTGATTTATCTGATGCAGCAGAACACGAGGGTGAGTTAGGGTGATTTGCTTGATGCACACGGGACTAGGGTAGGGTAAGGTAGGGATGGGTAAGGTTAGGGTAGGGATGGGTAAGGTAGGGTAGGGATGGGTAGAGACACTGCAGGGCTGTTCCTCTTGACGTCTACCTGTGGAAAAGTGTTGGCAAACCCATAATGGTGAGTGCTGACAAGGTGCCTGACAATTTGATTTTGAAGGGTGGACTGAGGGAGAGAGAGACAGACAGACAGACTGACAGAGGAAGGGAGAAAGAGACAGGCAGAGGAAGGGAGGGAGAGACAGACAGAGGAAGAGAGAGAAAAAAAAAAAAAAAAAAGAGAGAGAGAGAGAGCAGAATATGGTTTAAGGGGGAGTGCGCTAATTGATAGAGCTGTGAGGGCTTTTAGAGAGTTCGATTGGCATTTGTTTATTTAGATTCCATAATACATATGTACAACAGGTATACATATACATATCTATACATGTTCTTTTCTCCTATGCTTAATATACATACTCATACACACTATACGTGATCTTATACATATTCATACACATTATACATGATTCTATACCAACTCATACATATTATACATGAATTTATACATATACTCTTATACATAAATACTCGTATACACTCCACATATATTTATACACAAACTCATACACGCGATACATACAACTGTCGTATTCTGTGATAATGAATAACAAAAAGAGTTATACACACAGTAGACACAATAAACAGTGTAAATAACAAAGTGTAATAATAAGATTCTTTTACAAAGCTTTAAATGGCACAGAACTAAAGTGTGCGATTTACACGCTATGTAAATTTCGACCTAACGTATCGCACTCTATAAATTCCAGTCAATGTAAGTACTGTGTAATGTACAGCGCTATGTAAATTGTAACTGGTATGTAAGGTAATGTTCATAGGTGTGTATATATATAAATCTGTTTGTATAATTGAAGACTTGTGGTGATTAATTTCTAAAGGGTTGTGTTTATTTGAAAAAAAAAGACCGATAAAGGGAAGAAAATTATGACGATAGTTTGGAAATTTAACGAAAAAAATAATATTGTTTTAGGAATTTGTTTTTTGTTTGTTACTAAAGAATGGGTTAATGGAAGTGTTTTATTATTATTATTATTATTATTATTAGTATTAGTATTAGTATTAGTATTAGTATTATTTATCTATTATAATAATAATTGCCGTTAATAATGATAATGAAAACAATGAAAATAACATAAATAACGAATAATAATAATAATAATAATAATAATAATAATAATAATAATAATAATGATAATAATAATAATATATCACAGCACCACCACAGCACCGCCACTATCACAGCACCACCACAGCACAACAACTGCACCACCACCACAGCACCACCACCACAGCAACACCACCATCACACACCACCACCATCACACACCACTGCACCACCACACCACCACCACCACAGCACCACCACCACAGCAACACCACCATCACAGCACCACCAATCACAGCACCACCACTGCACAACCACACACCACCACTGCACCACCACCACAGCAACACCACCATCACAGCACCACCACCACAGCACCACCACCACAGCACCACCACTGCACCACCACCACTGCACCACCACCACAGCAACACCACCACAGCAACACCACCACACAACACCACCACAGCACCACCACCACAGCACCACCACTGCACCACCACCACTGCACCACCACCACAGCAACACCACCACAGCAACACCACCATCCACCACCACCACAGCACCACCACACCACCACCACTGCACCACCACACCACCACCAACCAACCAGCACCACCACCATCACAGCACCACCACAGCACCACCACCATCACAGCACCACCACTGCACCACCACCACTGCACCACCACACCATCACAGCACCACCACTGCACCACCACCACCGCACCACCACCACTGCACCACCACCACAGCACCACCACCACCATCACAGCAACACCACCACCACCACCGCACCACCACCACCGCACCACCACCACAGCAACACCACCACAGCAACACCACCATCACAGCACCACCACCATCACAGCACCACCACTGCACCACCACCACATCACCACCACTGCATCACCACCACAGCAACACCACCATCACAGCACCACCACTGCACCACCACTGCACCACCACCACTGCACCACCACCACTGCACCACCACCACTGCACCACCACCACTGCACCACCACTGCACCACCCACCACCATCACACCACCACCACTGCACCACCACCACTCATCACCACCACCGCACACCACCACAGCAACACCACCATCACAGCACCACCACTGCACCACCACCACCCCGCACCACCACCACTGCACCACCACCACTGCACCACCACCACTGCCACCACCACTGCACCACCACCACACCACCACTGCACCACCACCACTATCACACTACCACCACTGCACCACCCACCACTGCACCACCACCACTGCACCACCACCACTGCACCCACCACCACCACCCACGCACCACCACCACGCACCACCACTGCACACCACCACTGCACCACCACTATCACAGCACCACCACTGCACCACCACAGCACCAGCACCACATCATTGCACCATCACAATACAAGTATACAGCTGTCAGTCGCGGGATGAGCTCCGTGTTAGCCGTCAGCCCGGGATAAGCTGACAGTGGCTTGCGCTAATGGAGGAGATCAGGGCGGGGTCAAAGTTCATGTTACCTTTTATTGTCAAGTGTGTGTCTTGTCTCTCGTGTGTTGGGTGCCTCGGTGTGTCATGTGTCTCGTGTGTCTGGTGTGTCATGTGTCCCGTGTGTCATGTTTCTGAATGTGTGTGCCATGTGTGCCCCGGTGTGTCATGTGTCTTGATATTGATTTTGTAATCGGTTACAACTGAGAGAGAGAAGAGAGAGAGAGAGAGAGAGAGATGAATAAAATTCGAGTTAGAAAAACGTGATTGTGATAATAACTTGATAAAAATCTTGATAACATTTAATCTAACATTTTTTTCTCATAGTGACACAAAACATCTCTCAGATAAACTCACAACATCAATCAACATCAATTATATAAACACAACGTCTTTTAGATTTAACACAAACATCCTTAAAATTAATGTTTAATATCCACTTACAGGTATACAAGACCTACCTGAAGAAGTACCACATCACCTCTCCTCACCCCCTCCTACAGGTACGTTCTGAAGACCTACCTAAAATACCCCCACATCACCCTCACCCCCTCCTACAGGTACGTTCTGTAGACCTACCCAAAATACCCCCACATCACCTCCTCACCCCCCCTACAGGTACGTTCTAGACCTACCTAAAATACCCCCACATCACCTCCTCACCCCCTCCTACAGGTACGTTCTGTAGACCTACCTAAAATACCCCCACATCACCCCCCTCACCCTCCTACAGGTACGTACTGAGACCTACCTAAAATACCCCCACACCACCCCCTCACCTCCCCTACAGGTACGTACTGAAGACCTACCTAAAATACCCCCACATCACCCCTCCTCCTACAGGTACGTACTCAAGACCTACCTGAAGCAGTCTAGGTGGAAGATCTTGGAGCGGGCCCTCATTACCATGTCAGTCCGACTAAAACCTCCGCTACATTTATCGCACTTAGCACCGAATAATCTGTAGAGGGAGAAAACAAAAAAAAATATACCATAGTTAGGGGTTAAGATTATGTCGAGATGTAATTATAAAAGAAAACGTAGATATAATTTTTAGAAAGGCGTAAAAATATATATGAAAGTTTGATGAAAAGTAGAGGAGAAAGATTGAGTTAAGGATTATATAGATGTGATATAGGCCTTGTATAGCTTGGTTATATAGACAGTTAGGTGATATAGTATTGATATGTTTTATAGTAGGGGCGTAAATTTTTGGTTTTAAGAGAGAGAGAGAGAGGGCGGGGTGAACATGACATGTATTGCCCTCTGTATTAGGACAAGCAGACAGATAGACAGACAGACAGACAGACAGATAACTACCAATAATCATCATCTCCCCTCCTCCTGCCCCTTCCTCTCCTCTCCCTCCTCCTTCCCTCCCTCCTCTCCCTCCCTCCTTCCCCCTCCTCGTTTCCATCTCACCCGTTCCCCACCCCTTCCCCTCCCTCCCCCTTCCCCCCTCCCCCACCCCCTCCTTCCCTCCCCTTCCCCCTTCCCCCTCTCCCCCTCCCTCCCCTTACCCCTCCTCCTCCTCCCTCTCCCCCCCCAAACACACACACACCACTAAGGTATCCCCTCCTCTCCCCCTCCTCCCCCCCCCTCCCCTCCCTCCTCCCTCCCTCCTCCCCCCTCACCCCCATCATAGCCACACGGACCATTATCTTGCCAGTGCCATTATCAGACTCCATTAGTCCTCTCCTCCACTCGCCTCATTTACCGTCAATTTTCCTCCACTCCAGAGTTGACGGAATTGACACCTGTCTCTCCAATCAGCCTGTCACCTGTCTAATCACTATCAACCAAAAATCTTGAGTACTGGGGGAAGGACCTTGTACTCTGAGTCTTCAAGTGGGGCGATAACTCTGCCGTTGTACTCGACTGTTGTATTTTACCGTTGTACTCTACTGTTGTACTCTACTGTCGCACCCTACTGTCGTATCCTATTGTCGCACTCTACTGTCGCACCCTACTGTCGTCTTCTACTGTTGCACTCTACTGTTTCACTCTATTGTTACACTCTACTGTCGCACTCTACTGTTTCACTCTACTGTCACACCCTACTGTCGCACCCTACTGTCACACTCTACTGTTGCACTCTACTGTCACACCCTACTGTCGCACTCTACTGTCACACTCTGTCACGCCCTACTGTCGTATCCTATTGTCGCACTCTACTGTCGCACCCTACTGTCACACCCTACTGTCACACTCTACTGTTGCACCCTACTGTCGCACTCTACTGTCGCACTCTACTGTCACACTCTACTGTTGCACTCTACTGTTGCACTCTACTGTCACTCTACTGTCACACTCTACTGTCGCACTCTACTGTTTCACTCTACTGTCGCACCCTACTGTCACACTCTACTGTCACACTCTACTGTCGCACCCTACTGTCATATCCTATTGTCGCACTCTACTGTCGCACACCCTACTGTCACACCCTACTGTCACACTCTACTGTTGCACCCCTGTCACCTCTACTGTCGCACCCTACTGTCACACTCTACTGTCGCACTTAATTGTTACAATTCACTCTCTCACAGCCACAAACAAACACAGACAACTATAAACAAAAACAACAACCACAACCAAAACACAAACAAAAACAACCAAAACAAGTCCAAACAAACACAAACAAACACAAACAACTACATATCTCAGACAACCACAAACAACCAGAAACAAGTCCAAACAACCACAAACCAAAGATAAGTCCAAACAAACACAAACAAACACAAACAAACACAAACAAGGACACACAAAGAAGGGGCAGCTAAGTGGACAAACTAAGTCACCCTCTCTCTCCTCCCTTCTCCCCTTTGCAAAAATTCTCCGGCCATTACCATGCACTCAGGGTAAGGGAGAGGAGAGAGAGAGAGAGAGAGAGAGAGAGAGAGAGAGAGAGAGAAAAGAAGAGAGAGAAAAGGTCAGATAAAGACATAAACAGACAGACAGGACAAATGGGTAGGAGGGAGACAGAGAGAAAAGACAGATAAAATTAGACGGGAAAAAAAAAAAAAAAAAAAGCGACAGAGAGAGACAGGCGGATAGAGACCTAAAAAGAGAGAAAGGGAAAGAAAGAGTGAGAGATAAAAACAGAGATAGAAGTCAGAAGAGTGGGCGGTGATTAGAATATGAAGTGGGCGGGGCGTAAGGGAGATAGTGGGCGGAGTTTAAGTTGAACAGTGGGTGGGGCTTAATAGAGATAGTGGGCGGGGCTTAAGAGGAGTAGTGGGCGGGCCTAAAAAAAATGTACAGTGGGCTGGGCGAAGAGAAATGGTAGGCGGGCCCCCATGTAAGAGAGATAATGGGCGGTTCTTAAGTTTAAAAGTGGGCGAGGCTTAATTTAGACTGGGTGGAGTTTAAAAACACATTGTGGGTGGGGCAATGACATAATTCATCGCATTTTGCTCCTTCCCGTGTTATTTTGTTTTCGGTGTTTGGTAATAATAATAATAATAATAATAATAATAATAATAATAATAATCGGGATCTCTGTATGTATTCATTGTTCATATAAGTATTACACATGTATGCATTGTGTGTGTGTGTGTGTGTGTGTGTGTATACAATGTGCTCGCGTGTATAAATTTACGAGTTTTAAAGACTTTATGAACTATTTTAATATGTTCACGTGCTTGTGTGTGTGTGTACACTTGTTTTATGGTCATGTGTGTGTATATGTCTGTGTGTGTACAATTGTTTTATGGTCGTGTGTGTGTGTGTGTGTGTGTGTGTGTGTGTGTGTGTGTGCACTTGTTTTATAGTCGTGTGTGTGTGTGTATTTTTGTGTCTGTGTGTGAGTGCTTGTTCGTTGCTCGTGTGATCGTCTACTAACGTATTACACACACACACACACACACACAACAAAGGTCAGGGCATAGTGTACGTTATTAACAACAACCAAACACACACACATACATATATCCCTTGGTCGATCACCCCTACCACCACTACCACAATCAACCCCCTACCACCACTACCACAATCAACCCCCTACCACCACTACCACAATCAACCCCTACCACCACTACCACAATCAACCTACCACCACTACCACAATCAACCCCTACCACCACCACAATCAACCCCTACCACCACCACCACAATCAACCCCCTACCACCACTACCACAATCAACCCCCTACCACCACTACCACAATCAACCCCACTACCCACCACTACCACAATCACCCCCTACCACCACCAATCCCTTACCACCACCACCACCACAACCAACCCTTACCACCACCACCACTAACCCCTACCACCACTACCACACTCAACTCCCTACCACTACCACCACAACCAACCCCGACCATCACAACCAACCCCTACCACAACCAACCCCCTACCACCACCACCACCAACCCTACCACCACTACAACCAACCCTTACCACCACCACCACCGCTACAACCAACCCCCTACCATCACAACCAACCCACTACCACCACCACCACCACCACACAAATCTCCCCCGTTAGCGAAGGTACTAATTCACTGTATGCAAATTACCCTGAATTACGGGGCGTGCTGAACGTAATGTTATGGCACAGGTGAACGAAAGCAACAAAAAAGGTGTGTGTGTGTCTGTGTCAATACTTACCTGTAATAAGCGCTTGTAGGAGGGGGAAATACCTGGAGTTTCGACTGAGGTGTCAAGAATCTGTATGGAGGGAGGGAGGGAGAGAGGGAGGGAGGTGTGTAGGGAGAGAAGGAAGGAGAGAGAGGGAAGGAGAGAGAAAAAGTAGGAGGGAGGAAGGAAGTAATAGTGAGTTAAAGAAGGAAGGAGGAAGAGAGAGTAAGAAGAGGAAGGGGGGGAGGAATAGAGAATAGGAGGAAGGAAGAAAAGAGGAGAAAAGGAAGGAAGGAAGGAAGGAAAGAAAGGAAGGAAAGGGTGGGTGAAGGATAGTTTGGTTTTTGCTACAGAATTTTATTGCTCTTGTGTAGTGATTGTAGTTATTAAACCCTTCCAATGTGGGTATTTGGTTTATAACGCATGAAAGTACAGACGGTTTTAACTTGGTTTTGTTTTTGTTCTCAGTCAGGTTTTTTTCCCCGGTTTTTGTGGTTTTGATTTTAAGGTTTTTATTTCTTGGTTTATTTTGATTTATTTGGGTGTTTATGTGATTTTGGATTTTTGGTTTAATCTTATTGTTTTGTTTTTCCTTGATTATTTTTATTTATTTTTATCTATCAAATTTATTATATTTTTTCTCTCTGTTTTTAATCATCATTTTTGTTCTTATGTTTCGCTTGTAGTCGTTTTTATTCCACATGTCTTTATGAATCATCAGGGTTTTTTTTTTCAATCGAGCTTTTAACTTGGGTTTTTCTCCTCCAACTTCCACCTGAATTTTTTTTAATGAGTCTTAGATTTTTTGTTAATTAATCTTTCGCTGTTCGTTCTTTATGTAATTTTTATTTTATTTTATTTATTTTTTTTTTTTTAATTTCTGTAATGTGTTACTTTTTTCTTAAGATTTCATATTTAATTTTTTTTTTCTACTTTCACTAATTACTCTGTGGTGTGTGTGTGTGTGTGTGTGTGTGTCCCCGTCCGACCCACAAGATCACACACACACACACACACACAGATAAAGAGAGAGAGAGAGATTATATATATCACACTCAGGATTTGTGAGATATTTTTCAGTATATTTCTTTATTCTTTTAGTATTTCTGTCCGTGTGTTTTTATCGTCCGTTTTTTCATTTATTATTTTTGTTCAATTTGTTTTCATGAAAGATTTTTATGTGTGTGTGTGTGTGTGTGTGTGTGTGTGTGTGTGTGTGTGTTGTGTGTGTGTGTGTGTGTGTGTGTGTGTTGCAATTAAAATCACATTATACTCTTACCTGTTGTCCACCTTTCTCTCTCTCTCTCTCTCTCTCTCTCTCTCTCTCTATTCTCTCGCTCATCTACCTTTCTCCCCATCCCTCTCTTCCCGCCTTCTTTCC